ATAACGTTGAATGTCATGTTGTGTTCTTTTATTGGAAAGAAATTACAAAAAAGTGGAAAACTCAACACCAAAGTCTTAAAAATTTCTGGGAAAGCTTGTAGCAAACAATTGTTATTGGAGCGCTTGATGGAGGCATGACCACATTGCTGATTGGTCCATGTTTATTTCCCTGGCAACACTCCCTGTCTCTGTTTGTGTCACCTAGCGAGGGCAGATCCTTCTGGTTTTGACCAGATTTAAAAGCCACAATGCCAACTCAATACGTCTCTGAATGCTATATTTCTATCATCCTTCAATGTATGCCGTTAAGACCAGTGATTGGACAAAGGGAGAGTTACAGAACAACCATGACAAATTGACTTAGTTCTTGTAAAAGTGAAGAAAAAACAAAAACCTCACACAGTCACACATGTTCTCTCATTTATCCACAGCACAGCTTTTTCTTCTTTTTTTTTCTCCTTTTTTCGCTAATGTATTGTGGCTCTGTATCTTGTACTGTGGTACATAAAAGGGAAAAATGAGTCTCAAACAGTTTCACAAACTGTGGGGGAGATGGGGATTGTTGGATTGTGCCAAATCAAAGAAATGAAAAATGGCTTATCTCACATCTATTCTAAATGGAAAAACAAAGAAAAAGCCCTGATATCCTCAGCGAACAAAAAGGCTGACTTAAAAACATTACATTTGTGGCACCAGCCTACTTGTCTACTGCGTCTAACAGAAATGAACCTCCGTGTGAAAAGCGTACCTACTCCCACAACAAACTTTTAAACAAAAGACAATGCTCCAGAGCAGCAGCACTGCTGTACTCGGCATTCATCTGCTAGGAGCAGCAGGAAAGCCCAGAGCCACAGGTGAGGATTTTTCATTGGGTAGACCTGAGTCTTAGTTGGTCTTTTCAAAGTATATGTCCATTGTGAGCTTCAGTTTGAAAAATTCCTGCATCTTGAACCTGAGGAGAAACATGAAAAAATGGCAGGAGAAAAACCACCAACAGTCTGATAGACATGCAACATAATTTCATAGATTCTTCTGTCGTCTGCATAGATACTATAAACAAGGTATAGTTCTCCGTCATCTGAACTAAATAGGAACAAAAATTTAGCTAATGAGTTATAACCAACAACTTCATACTTTAACTGAGGATTAAGCCTGTAATTAAATTGGTGGCAAAAAGTAATACCATCCACTTCATACAGTTGATCATGATGGAAAAGCTTAAATCAAACATAGTAGACCTGATATGGAGAATTTTAGGCATACCTGCATTCAAAAGTTAGGCAGTTTGGTCACAAAAATGAGTCTTGTTAAACAAATGCACATGCTGGTTGTGTTTCCATTACCAATGTGCGCAAAGCTCAATATTCCACTAATGTTGAAAAAATACATTTTGCAATTGTGATGCTTCCATTAAATAAGAAATGTAATTAAAATTATATAGAAAGTTTGTTTGTGCAATATTTCATTAACAAAACCCACTGCGCCATGATCCTCCAACTTCTTCCTGTCATTTTCTTCTTTGTAGTTTGTGGCAGTGGCAACAACTAGTTGTTGTTCATGTGATGTGTGAAGTGTTTCCAGCGCAGGTTTGCCCCAAAAAACACTTCATGCCAGCGCCAAAACGTTTTCCTGAAAAACAAGGTTTTTTAGTTTTATTTTCTAAATGTTAAATGGAGCAATTTTATGGTTACTGGAAACAGCTACTGAATGGTTATTTAGTATAATCACTCAAGTGTAAAAATATGTAATTTCTCTTATATTGTGCGATGTCTTCTGACATCTAACAAAGCAGGAACGTGCTCAGACCTTACTCTTCTTTATTCAGTATGTCACAAAAATCATAAATCATGTTGCTCACCTGTCATGGTACATTTCACATCAGGACTTACACAGCAATGCTTAATGCTGTCGCACATACACAGAACTCCACCAGAAACATACAAGATGAAGACCTGGATTGATCTGTTAACAGTTCTTGCTTTAACGTTGAAACTTTTGTGAACATATGTGCATTAGCTGGCATTTGTACGTTTGGTCATACTCAAAACCAATAAATCCAAACTTTCAGAACTCTGACATTTACTTTGAAATAAACTCAAATGGCAGGTCAAGCCTACATGGTGGTTTACTCATTGTACCTGAACGAGGGACGGTTTCCGATGGCGTTTGTCTCAGATGCTACATTGTTTGTCTTCCAGGTCACAGGATTTGTTGGTTTGTATGAACAGTTCATGTCTGATGATATACTCAGAAGATGGTTACTGTTGTGACTGAAATGTCCTCCTGCAGCTCTCTCCACTACATATGACCTAAGGGTTGAACTAGCACCATGGACAGTGCCTGGAGTTGTCCACTGTTTCTCACCATTTAAGAATGGGAATCATGTAGCGCCTGAATTCAATACAGGCAGATTCCTCACTATTAAAATAAAAAGGCTTGCTTCTGTTCTGTAAGCCTTGTCTGCAAAAACAGGTGGTAATTGTGATGCAGCAAATTTGACTACCTCTGCAAAGGCTTGAAAATTAGCCACTGTACCCTTTTTCTCAGCCGTAGGAGAGGACTGACAAAAATTAAATGTGAAAGAGACTAAAAAAGATTTAAATTTTTAGGTAGTTTATTTTAGTAGTTTGGATGGAAATGCTCTAAACTTTTTATTTATACTCCGTGCGGTTAAAGCGAGTTTGTTCACGAGTATTGTTTTTTTTCTTTAAATAAGATGCATTGAAGGTGTATTGGGGTGTATTGTATCTTATAATGGCTAACATTGTCAATTCATAAAAATAGACAGCTATCAGCTTTTATCGGCAGGTCAGGTTTCTTAAAGATTGCTGAATGGCCAGAAAACGTTAATCGCCGCATTCTTTCTGCAGACAAATCCTGAATCTGTCCATTGACTATTCCACCCAACCGTCACGCTCTTATTCTCCCATGAACTTGAGGCTCAGGTTGACCCCCGACCTCTCATAGGGGGCAGTTCACCTTTTTCTTGTTGAGAATAATGACCTTAGATTTAGACCTGATTCTGATCGCAGATGTTTCACACTCAGCAGGGAACCACTTTAGCACTTGCTGGATGGAGGTCATAGCCTGAAGTAGCCAACATAACCCAACGTTTCCCCCAGAAAGCTTGTTAAACCTGGTGGTTGTGCACTAGGGCAGTCATTCATTCAATGACACATCATCTTTTTGAATTAAAAAATGTTTAAAGTTGACAGGAAATTTGAAAATATCACTTATTTGCTATTAAAAGATTGGAAGATTAATACCAACAAAAAAGTCTTTAAAAAATGCAAGGATTTTAAAAAGACTTAAAAAAAAAAAAAACTCCCCCTGGTGGGGGCACAAGTATAAGCCTGGTGGCCCGCCAGGCTTATAAAACACCAAGGGAAACCCTGTAAACGTTAGCGAAAAGCAGCAGAGATCCTGAATCTCCTCGTCATGACAAACTACACAAAATGGACTGGTGACGAGGGGAAAGGTCAATGGTGAACTGGGAGCAGGCAGAACTTTGGGCCAAGAATATTTCTGATGTTGTTTCGGGCATAAAAATCATTGGAATACCTCCATACAGACTTTATTAGCATTACAGAAACCAAACTGTTTTTAATCATTACTCCCCTACTTTTTGCCGGTAATCAGGGTAAGAACCCCTTCTTCTTCACTCTAAAGACTCCTGCATATTTAACTCAAAGCTAAATGATTAATGCATGGTCACATGGTTGTGGACCTTTAGTTTTCGAACACCTTTTGTACAACTTCACAAACCACCAGGGAGGCACCCCTCCCTCTTCAGTATGCATCATGCTCTGACACGCCAGGGTTCCCCTGCCTTCCTTCCCTTTTTTGGTTATGAAACAGTCCCAGAGAAACCACCACAGTTTTTCTGCAGACAGTCGCCTCAACGGACAACATTACAATTTCTAAGCAGAAATTTTTAGCCATGTTACTGTAGTTATTTTGTAAAGACAAGTACCAAAGTGCACAATCTCACCGAATGAGATAAATGTTCACCTGATCGATAAAAAAACTGGATAGAGAAAGTGGACTAGTTGAAGAGTCTGAGTGCATTTCTGCATAAAAAACACAAACTTCTGACCAATTGCATAACACTTCGTACAGATCTCTGTTGAAATATTTTTGATTTGGGCCTGGTGTCGAGTTCAGCGATGATGCGATGCTTGTCATCGACGTCAAAGAGAGCTGATTTCAGCACTTCAGATGAAGTCTGTAGGATCCTCAATCCTCTGCTCCCTCTGCTTTATTAGGTCCTCTGGCTGGATCACTTCAAAACTTTAATATTACTACTGGCCTGAAGAAATAATCTGGTAAATTTATTGATTACTTGAAACCTCAATCTGGCAGGTGTATGAACATTTTCCAAATAAGAGTCGACTAAAATAAAATTTTTAGACACTGAAACTAGTGATCAAGACAAACAGTCACATGTTCCCAGATCTCCCTTTTTTTTTTTTTTTTTTAGATGTTATCACGCAAGACTGAATATTTTGGCAATTTTTGCAGAGGTGTCAATACAGATCGGATCTATGTGCCACTTGGTTATGTCGACACGACGGCAGCAAGCCTCTGAAATCAACCGTGCCTGCTGGCGTTTTGAGAGCAAACCCTGAACATTATGATCTTTGTTTTCAAATTGAATCTTAGGATTCTGACAGAACCACTGTTGGTGGACCAGAGAAGTGCAGAGGAGGCACACTCGCGTTCATTTTCACCTGCTTGAGTCAGTCACCTGCAACTCAACAAAGGCAAACAGGAGAGCCAGGTTGGCTTACAAAGTGACATCTTCCCCAAACGTTGACGAGGTGCGTCTCCACCTGAGCTTCACCATGATGTTAAACAGCAGGATGTTGGAGTGAAGAAGCTGACTAATAAAAAAACAAATAGGCACTAGGACCCAGTGGCAAGAGCGCGAGTAGGCAGGCAGAGTGGGGCTGAGTCACTGCATGTGTCTGAGAGGCAGTCAGAAACAGAGCAGAGCAAGGGAGAGCAGAGGTGATCTTAGTCTCATCAGTACAGGATAACAGAACCATGATGGGTTGATTTTGGGGGGTTGGGGAGGCGGTTGGGTTTGGAAGTGTGCATTTGCCACCACTTGCTGAGCCATGGAGACCAACAAAGTTCTTCATTTTGTGCCTTCCGGTGAGTATATATCAAAAGCTCCTGAGAGCTGCTTCTCCGTTGTGCACGACACAGCAATCACTGGGAGAACCTTGGGGTTCCCTTCCTCATGAAACCTGAGAACCCCCCCCTTGTGCAAAACATATGCAGCCCACTTCAACTTCCACTCTGAGGCATGGCAGATGTTTACGTGGATGCGTTCCATTGCACATACTTGGCAAATCGGGAGTTTGATCAATTTGTGCTCAGAGGAATGTGGCAATATAGCGGACACAGACAGGAAACTGATTCTTTTTCATTTTCGAGAAGACAGAGAGCTGTGGCAGCTGTGTTCTGCTCGTAGAAATTGAGTTTTTTTTGTTAGTTTTTTTTCTCTGTGAAAACACATTTGTGTGCGTGTACACGCATGTGTGCAAAAGTGTGCATTCTCTTGTTGTTTATGTCTGGTATGCGGCACCAGAGGTTCCTGTCTCGTTTTTTTTTTTTTTTCTTTTTTTTCCCAGCAGTTGAGGAACTGAACCCTGAGAAACAGTTGCATTGCAAACCCTCGCAGCGACGCGAGTGTACCTGTCGAGACCATGCACAGCCGGAATGCAGAGGGAGCATGTGTTGCATTGGTGGGCTCCTGCATGATAAGTAGAGAAAGACCGACAGGATGCATGGAACAGTGTGTCTGTGCTCCCATGCAAAGGAAAGATGCACATCTGTTCTCATCTGGATGTTTCTCTCTACCTACATCAAGAAACAGGACTTAAGAACGTATCGATCCCTGACGGTGCCTGTGGGTTTTAAAAAATAAAAATGTTTTATACACACTTGTGTGTGCGTGCGTGTGTGAGAGAAGACAGGTTAGTGTTGCTGACAGCCACAAGAGAGCAGCGAATCCCCCCCTCACCCTCTCAAGCCCTCAATGTAAGTCCTAAGAGAACCCAAAGCCCATTTGGAGGTGTGATGCAGCTGCCTCCTCACTTTCATTTTATCTAAGGCTGAACAGGATACTGCAACTCCTGGTGTTTTTCTTTCTCCCTTTCTCTCTCTGTGTGTGTTTTACTTGAACATTACTTGGAATTCTGTGACAGCAAAAATACTATGTCTGCTTGTGAATGAGCACCGGGTTGTGTGTTTGTGTACATATACTATAGGTATTTGTTGGACTTCAGTTGCACGTTTGTGTGTGTTCGGTGTGTGTTTTCAGCAGATGCATTGTGCGATCTAACTACATCAGAGTGTCGAGGTGTGATGGACACTGACGTGACTTGTTCTCTGAAGAGTAATTTGCATTCATTTGCCTGCGAGCTGATTAGGTGGAGGTGACAGGTTGGATCCTTGCAGCAGAACAATTTGGTCCTGTTTCCTAAACGGCTTGTCACGCAGCAAAGGTTGAATGCTCCAAAAACACCGTTCAGAAACGGGAGGATTGCTCGTTGCCCATTTAATGATGATTCTATTCCGTCTTAGTTGACCTTGGTTATAAAATGCTGATATTGTTTGCAGGAAATTGTGTATCTGTTAATTTGATGGCATTATTGATCACCCCTGGTTACTAAACAGTTACACTTACAAAGGATTAGATTTTATTTTCTTTTTCTTTTTTTCGTCTCCCAGTTTACTGTCCTCTGGATTTTTAGAATAAAGCAGAGCAAGCTGCTCTGTGCGACAAAATCTCAGGATCCATGGCATTGGAACATGATGTCCAACTGAAGGTACAGCTCGCACTGGCCTGGAAAATGAAGCAAAGCTTCAACTAGTTTTATGCAAATGGAGACATATTTTGCAAACAGATAATCGTGTTGCATTATTCACCCACTATGTAACAGATTTATTTTTTTGGCAGGGGGCAAGGTCAGAAGATATAAGTTTCACTTTTTGGATTTGAAAATTGCCACAAGGCTTCTGCATGTAGCGACACTGCAGTCAGCTTCACTATTGCTCTGATCTGTGTTTTTTTTTCTTTTTCTTTCTTGCTCCTATTAACCAGCAACAAACTTCTCCTGCTTATGACAATGCCTTAGAGAACTGTGCAGTCATTTCTATTTTAAATATCGTTTTCATTTCTGTCTAGCAGCTTTGTTGTAAATATTTATTTAAAAATAGTCTTACAATTTTTCTTTAAAGAATTTCTCTCTGGGTTATGACCACAACTAAGTTACACAAGTAACCTTCAAATGACTTTGCTTTGCATAACTGGAAAAACTGCACATGAGTCGATGAGAAACGAAAATGTTTGGATCATTTTTCAGGTATGAATAATATTTTGATCACATAAGAATGTTTAAGAAGACAAGTTTTCACATTTTCAGTATTTATGTAACAACTGGAGATGCAACAGTTTATCCAGCTCCTGAGATGAAACAATATCTAACACAAGATTTTTAGAATACTTTCGGGAAAACAAAAGATGCTTTTTTTGTTTAATAAATTATGCTTTTTTTGTTTTTTTTGATTAGAAAAACAATTTCACAAACTATGAAACAAGTTTCCAAGACGCTAATCAGTGTAGAATTATCCAGTTCAGGCTCAACCTACCTGCCTATTGCTGCAATTATGCGATTTAAGGAAGTTTTATTCCAAAATTTAAAAAATAAAATGTATTCAGAAAGTGATATTTTTGTCTTTTTACTAACAGAAAAAGGCACAATTAACTGACTGTGCCTTTTCAGGGTTCACCAGTTGATTTTTTAAAATTTTTTTACTTGATATGAAAAAATGCAGTCCATACTTATTAAAATAGTGAAATGTGGGCAGTAAGAGGCTTTGAAGCTGCCACAGTCATTAGCGGGTAATTGTTAGCCATTGGCAGTATTCTCTATGCAGTTTCAAATTCATGGGTATGTGGTCTATCCCTCTCATTGTTACTTTTTTCTACCAAGTAACAAAATGCAAAACATAAAGAGCATAAGAGGTGGGGAGACTTCTTATCACAGCATCGCCAGTTAGCCTGTCAAGTTGTCTTTATTAGTCAACTCTGTCGACACATTTGTCTCGTTCAAGAATTCCTGTCAGTCTTGCGTCACATCATCAGGCCTGGTCTACATGTTGCCAGATAACTGGGAAATCAAATGCATTTCTACCTGTTTCAGCCTTTCGTCTTCATGAAAACTCTTTTTAATGTCACAAAAAACGACTATTTAGAAAAACTCAAAAGTGGAAATTTGAGAAAACAGTATTTATGTTTGGATGTGTACATGGGAAAGCAAAGATTTAGGATTCTGTGAATTACTGTCTATGACGATGAAGGTGGCAATATATTTACATATTTGCTTTCACACAATTTCCAATCAACATTGCCTTGAGTTAATAATTTCATGTACCAATACACAATTTAAAAGTAGTACAACCTTTAAATCTGTACACATAAATAAAACCTCCTGGCACCATGATAAAGTTCTAAAAGGAAGTTGTCGGTCTTTGGGAGAAATCTGATTGGCTGAGAGGTTTTAGCTTTGCCCTCCACTGCCCTCTATGGGTCTGGCATGTTTAGAACAACATTGAGGGCTGGATTTGTGTGGATGAAAACTTTTCTGAAACCAATCAGAAAAGATTGTGCAATAATACTTTAAACAATCTGGCAAAGATATAAATTTTTATAAAGACATCTTCATCTTGGAGTTCGTCATGAGAGATTACACTTAGTTTATATGCCAAGTTTCTCCTCCGGGGAACCCATTAAGCCTGGGGGAAGAGGGCGCTGTAGTGCAGACCAGCAGCGGCCCACTGTGTTTTTGTGCTAAAGAATCTTACAAGTTACAAAAATTTGTAAGTGCTTAAGCAGAAACACTAATTTGGAATTAATAGCTTGAGGCCGACAGTCTGAATCGGTGTGCACCCGCTCATGCCCAGTTCAACATGCCAAGTATAAACTTAGGCTAATTGGTCTTTACTGTCACTGGTAATGCTGTATAAAAAAAACCATATTTAAAATAAACACTTAGCATGGTGTGGGGCAAGTAAAACCCGGTGGCCCGCCGGGCTAATACACTAAGGAAAACCTGGCTGATATTCGAAAATTTAGTGGCATTTTACTATCCAAGATCTTGTTCTACACAATCATAGACTACACTAAATGGTAGTATCTTTTTCTTTTTAGTTTCATGTATAGATACGTCATTGCTTTTAGGTTAAGATGACATAAGTTTCAGAGTCGAGACTGGAGTGAAAATGGCCCGGCTCGCCAAAAAAAGGCAAAGTATTAGTTCTTAAACCCACAAACAAAGTCCACAATAGTGTGATCTTTTTCATTTAAAACTTTTCGATTTAACAATCAGAAATGCAACATAAAGCTGTCCTGTTACAGCCAAGTGTCAACGGTCTGGCGTGACAAAAAACCAAACGATCGGCGCTGCAGCCGTGACCTGCAGAGCCCAAAGCATCAGCATGGATGACACGTACTGACGGTGGGAATTAGTACTTTGACCATGTGGATAGTGAAGGTGTGCAAGCTTCGAGATAGTTGACGAGCTCCTGCGCGCATGTGTGCTCTATAGAAGTGACAGTGATCTCTGATCAGTATTCACCGCTGGCAAACAGACCTCTGAAGCTCCAGCCTCCAAGCACAGCCATCTGGGCAGAGGAGAGGCGCGCGTCAACACACACATACAAATCACCGTACAGTACCAGGCGCATACGCACACACCGACACTAAAATGTCCCAAAACCACCTCCATGCAAGACATGACAAGTCGGCCTCACTGGCAGGAGAGCGCTCACACATTCATGCAATCCTCACAAAAAGCGGCTGCGTCGGACATTTACCATTCAGACGACTTCTCCCCAAATCATTCCCACTGTCCAAAATCATCTGTTAATGTAAACACAGGTAACATTTATAGTCATGCCAGCAAAAACTAATTACTGCAGGGCGCAATACTGTGTTCGAAATGTTTACTCTGCATCTCACTACATCACACCTTTAACTAACTGCTAAATTAGTAATTGATTAATCAATTAACCAGATAAAAACATGACACATCCTGCTAATTTTCTTTAACTACTTAAACCTTTTTTATACATTGCTAGAAATA